TTATCTTTCGCACCCGGTTGTTTGATATAGGTCGAAGTCTTGGTAAATTTATCTTTTCAAGAACATTAACATTACAATGTTAATTAAAATTCAACTTATTATTGGTGCTTCACGGATTGAATGTCCTATGCACAAGATAAATGTACAATTTTCTTCATAAAATTGCTGATTAGTTGTTATGTATGTTCTAGCCATAGAACTAGTGATTTTAGAAACGCCGCGACCCAAATCCGTGCGCCCATATGTTCATTGCACTCGTATATATATGTGATATTAATTGACCTAAAACATTGTGGAAAACTATAACTGAGTAATCATTTAAGGGTTTTATAATTCTCATGTTGAAGGAGAATTGAAATCTCATGTTGTAGAGATAAAAAACATGTAGGACCCATGTGTTAGAAAAAATTATATGTAGAACCCATGTCAACACGGAAATCGAAGGGTGTGTAGGAAAATTGTAATTCTCATGTTAAATGAGAATTATAAAACACATCATTTAATAGGCTAAATAATATACTTCACATTACAACAATACTAGGTACCTTCATAGATGAAATAATGTACTTCAGCATCTTGACTATACATCCCCTCATCTCTTTTCCTTGTTTTTGCAGTGAATGTATTGTAAAGAACTAATAAGTAAGCGGCCAGCTCTCAATAATGCTTTTATGTTCCATTAGATTCTCCAATAATGTTTCATATATTTTTCATGTAATAGTTTGATGTGTTAGTACTTGTGTGTGTTCAATATTCAATAATGCATTGCTCAATGATTTGTACCTTACCTCAATGTTTTTGGTCGTTGAGATTTCAGTCATGTAATCATACAGAAATTGGAGATCTTTGCTTCAAAAGCAATTCAAATTTCACATGGTAAAAGCTAATATAAAAAAAAAGGAAGAAGAAAGAAAACCGCCATCAAAGAACCAGCAGATGATTCTGCATGTTTAATACAAGAACATTGTTAATATAAATGACAGGCACTCAACTTTTCTTGCTTTGTGATGGATAATACAAGAACACTATAATTGTAAACCTATGGTGAGATATCTTAATGGCGATAAATACCACATAATAGCTCAGTATTCAAGTTTATAATTCATTAAATTAAAGGTTCTGATAGGGATAGACGTAAGGCATACTTAATATATATGTAGGAGTAGTTTAAATTCTAATGAAAAAAGGTAAAAAAAGTAAAAATCAAGATTTTCGTATAATTTATTAATCAAAAACTGATGGCTACAATATTCCATGATGCCCCATTAACCTTGAGGCTGCCCTTAGACCAGGTCCTACCTTTTAGTCTTCATTAATCATTCTGCTTTGTTCCTTTTAACTGAAAATAACAGAGTGGACACATGATATTTTCCCATTAGGTAACTGTTTCACAAGCTGAATAAGTGTCCACTATAAAGCAATGATTCTGATGAGCAAATGACAAGACGTCAAGAGTCTCAAAATCTTATCATAATTTCATAATGCAATTATGAATTGTGAATAGATACATAAAATTTTGTACCACCAATAAGAAAGAGAATGAGTGGTTGAGTACGTATAATTGCTTTACTGATCAAGCTAAGCAACCCTCCAGATTCTTCTTAACCGACGAAGCTAATAATAGAAAGGGCCATACCTTATTAGGATCCCTTAATCAGCTTTCCTTTCAATGTTTAGACACCCACCCACATGTTCAAAATCTACTTTCTCCCTTTATATTATATAATAGGGAGAAAGTTAATCAACTAACGTCAACTTAAATTCACTTGGGTTGTAGTCCATTTTGGCTGGACTTTGCTTTTCTTTGCATCAGGTAGGAGATGTGTTGGTTGGTGGAATTTATTAATCTTTCAACAAAACTAACCATGGGGGAGTAAAAGTAGTCTTCTTAGTGCACAAGGATGAGTCATCTCCACGTGTGTTACTATATATACCTAGTAAATTGGAGCTCCTCTTTCTTCATTCTTCCAAAAGGATGTAGTAATGAAGTCAAAAGCTTTTCTAATGAGGTATTGAGAACAACCCAGTTTAGAAAAGATTGGCTTTTAGGTTTCCTTGTAAAGGGCCTGGTTGGCTATGAGATGATTGAAGAAGAAATTAACCAATCAAAATTGTTAGCATAGTTTGGTATGGATACGACATTTAATGTTCAATGGAAAGCTTGCCCCATCACTTTTTGGTATATAGTATTTGGTTAATACATGTAATAGAGGAAGAACAGACTGATTGGTACGTAAAATAAAATAAAAAATGGAGGCATTTCATGGTCCATTCTGCAAGGTTGCAAGGAAGTGAAAAATATACATAACAAAGACAAAGCTTTGTCATAGAAACTATAAAGGTCACAAACAGCCCACGTGGAGATCAACTTTCTTGGATTAGTTTTTACACGCAAAATGAAAAGTGATTTCTCTGATCCCCATGTGTCATCCATCCCAATCATATGCCATGAAAACGAGAAATGCGTTGCTTAAGCTCTAATTCGTATAAAAGTAAATGATCAACTAATTTCATTTTAATAAATCTCAAATATCTGTGACCACAAATTCATGAAATCTTGCTTATTAACTTATACTATATGGTCAAACTCATGTATAATTCAGGGAATGTTAAATATCATTTTTCAAGTGGTAAGGTATCTCTACTTTCACTGACTACTAATTATTTGAGTAGACACATATCCCAATTCCCAAGTATAAGCCTAAGAGCCCGCTTCATTACACTTTTCAAAAAAAGTAATTTTTATTTTAGATTTTTATTTTACAAAAGTTAGAGCTATTTATATTTTTATAAAAATATTTAGTTTTTGAAAAAAATATTTGACTTCTGACTTCTGTTTTTTTTAGAAGTTAAAATTTTTAGCTTCTGCAAAAAGTAGGTTTTTGACTTTTTTTGTGACTTATACTTTTTTTTAAAAAGAGACATCCAAATGAACTAAAAATGAGGAGTGCTTTTTTTTTCATGAAAAAAAGCAGCTTTTGAAGAAAAAAAAAGCTCATCCAACCAAACGGGCCCTAAGTACGATAAATAAATATGAGCAATTTATTTTCACTTTCTCTCGCTCATTTGATTGGACGAGCTCTATTCATATTCAATGTACGTGTAATTTCTCTATAAATAAATGCTTAATCTTAATCTTATTTTCAATAAATCTTAATGGCAATTTTTCTTTCGTGAAAATATATTAATTTAAACTAGGGGTGTGCAAAATAACTAAAAAATTGAATTGAACCATAAACCAAATCGAACTGCACTTAAAATAACCGATTTTTAAAAATCAATTCATAAACCGAATCGATTTTTAAAGAACCAGTTCATGAAACGAACCGATTTTTAGAACCAGTTTAAGAACCGAACCAAATTGATTTTTATAATTTTATTTTTTAAATTTTCAAATTTTTTTATTTTTAAAATATGGTCGATCCGTATCAATTCTGAACTGAATTGAACCATTTCCAACCGAACTGGACCAGTTTTGAATCAAACCGAATCATTTAAATCAATTCAGTTTGATTTTTCAAAAAATTCGATTCCGTTTGATATATGCATATCCCTAATTTGATTAGGTAAAAGGAAGAAATTTATAATACATAAGCAAGTTATTCATGACTGATGCTTAATGGGGGAAGACTGAATGACTGATTAATCAGCAGGAAACAAGTACAAATTTTAAATAATGAACCAATAATTTAAAATGGCTGCAGTTATGCTATTAGCAGGTTAAGATTCTCAATAATATTAAATTACTCAAACGCATTCTTTAAGGGAAATAAGATAAATCTGTTCTTGGACTTATGCTAAATCGCCACTCCGAAGCTTACGCCACTCCTGTTAACTGCAGAACCAACTACCAATTTAATTTAGAGTAATCAAATAAACTGCTTAACAAGTTAAATAGTGCTACATGGTTAATTATTTTAGTTTAGGTGGTGGTGCATTGTTATTTGCTTAGAACAAATTTTTAAATTAAGCATTTATGATTATGAATTCTTTATGCAATGGATAGATATTTATTGGATATTTGAATTATTTTATTTTATTTAAAGAAAATATTATAGTCAAAATATTTTAAAGATAATGTTCAGTTAAAAGTGTTAAACATGCTTATGATTATATAAAACATAATAAAAAGATTCACATTAAAATTTAAAAATTATTAAATTCTATTTTTATTTGTTTATAATAACATTTAAATGTACTTTTTAAATTTACATAAATTACACTCTGATCATTAGAATTTATAATATTAAAATCGAAAGAATTTTTTTTATGAATTTATAAAAAAAAATTAAAAATTTAATTAATATATAATTTATAGTTATTTTAAAAATAAAAAATTTAAGAGGTTAGAAAATATAAAAATAAAAAACTATAAACTAAATTAATTATATAATAAAAAAAGTTTTAAAATTAAAAGAAAAATTGTCATATAGTATAATAACTTTTATATTGCATATAAATTACATGAGCATAGGAAACAAAAAAATAAATGCCAAGTGTAAAATTGGTTTATCATATTGAGAATAGGTGCTGACACTACAGATCCACACCTAGGTAGGTGTCCAGGTTGTCCTGATTAGGTCCTATGCTGACACATATGCCACCATGCATCTCTGACAGAATGACACTTCACCACCTTATGATTTATCTACCTGTCGGTGGAGAATGAAACTATTGTGATCTTTCTAAGTTTTTTTTTTTCTCTATCTGTCATCCTTTTTCTATCTCTCACTGTTAATCCCCCCTGTCTTTTTATAAATCTGCTTCACCCCTTTCTTTGAACATTGAAAAGAAATATTAAACTAAGAGGTTGTTGTTCTTTGTGCAGTTAGTGGCATTGCATGTGATCAGGAATCACTCATTTTAACTTTCCCACCGGCCATCTATAATACACTCCTACTCCTTCCCTTATATTATCACTCACTTCTCTCTTTAATTGTTAACTCTCTCCCTCCCCCCATCATTTGTATGTTTAAGCACTTTTTCCCATAATCACATTTGTGATTTGATATATCATTCTCCATTCATATAGCAAATGGGTGAGGAGGCAAAACAGGTGATGAAACCCTTCTCTTGGCGTTATGATATTTTTCTTACTACCTTTTGTTATAGCTGTGTCTGCATTAGTCCTAGTGCTTAACTGCTTATTGGGTTTGTTTGATTTTTTACATTGAGTAGGAACACCCCAAGGCTGAAGTCAAGCCGGAGGAGAAGAAAGAGGAAAAGCCAGCAGAGGAGAAGAAAGAAGAGCCTAAACTACCATCCCCATGTGTGTTGTTTGTGGACTTGCATTGTGGAGGATGTGCCAAGAAAATTGAGAGATACATTAAGAAAATGAGAGGTTCTAATCTGTTACACGTCTCTTTTAATTTTAGTTTCCAAATGTCATTCATGCACGTGCACTCATTTTCTTCTGTGTTTATCTTCTACCAGGAGTTGAGGGAGTGGCAACTGACATGGCTAAAAATGAAGTGACCATAAAGGGTATTGTGGAGCCTCAAGCGATTTGTAATTACATTACCAACAAAACAAAGAGAACAGCTAAAGTTATATCTCCATTGCCTGCTGCAGAAGGAGAACCTATACCACAAGTTGTTAATTCTCAGGTATCATAAATATTTTCCTCTTTTCTGGTTGAGACCAAGAAAAAAAAAGAAAAAGGAAAGCTAATTACATATTAAACAGTTAGTCAACAATGGGTGATTGTTTGTGTTTCAGGTTAGTGGACCAGAAACTGTGGAACTTAATGTAAACATGCACTGTGAGGCCTGTGCTGAGCAACTCAAGAGAAAGATACTCCAAATGAGAGGTACCATTTATCTCTTGATTTCAATATGATGGCTACATTGTTGTCGTCATTGAGAAAGGACAGGTTAGCAAAGGGAAAGAAATAGACAGCTGCTTTCTTTATGATTAAATTTTGTGGCGCCAAATGCAGTGTAGTGATTGCAACAAATTAAACCAACTTCATGAACCATTTAACAATAAATTATTACAAGGGAATCCCATAAAGCATGAATCATCACTCCGGAATTTGGGCATGTCCATCCTTTCATGCTTTGTATCCATCACATATTGCCGTGTCAGCACTTAACGTGGCATTCTTTTCTGCAAAGTAATCGGTGATTATTTGACTAGGGCTCCATGGTCCATGTCCTGCTTCAGATTGCACCTCAAAAAGAGAAAGAAATTGTCGGGGGAGTGAAGATCACTTCCATAAAGATGTTCTTGTGATGGCCAAATTTTGTCAGCTAAAAGTGATGAAACAACTTTAACTCTTACACATACAATTAAAAAAGAAACAGATTTAATAACAATTCATGACATTCATCCAACAAAATTCCTTTTCATGAAGAGGGTCGCCACTTAACTAACTAATTGTGCTTAATACATGAATGATAGCCTTGTATAAATCACGTCTCAAAAATCAAATCATCTAATTAGTCTCATCCTTTTGGCTCTGAGCTCTTCCGTATTGGACAAAACAGTGTACTACTATTTGATTCATTCCATATGTATATATTTATATGTTTGTTAATGTGAAAAACTATGTTCATTAATGTAGGAGTTCAAAAAGCAGTGACAGAGTTTATCACAGGGAAGGTTACTGTGACAGGAACCATGGATGCAAACAAGCTAGTGGATTATGTCTATAGACGCACCAAAAAGCAAGCCAAAATAATTCCCCAGCCAGAACCTGAACCAGAAAAGAAAGAAGAGAGTAAAGAAGCTGAGAAACCTGCAGCAGAAGAGGCTAAACCTGAAGAGAAGAAAGAAGAGGAGAAACCAACAGAGGAACCCAAGAAAGAAGAGGGTGGTGACAATAAGAATGAGAACAAAGAAGAAAAGAATGGTGAAGAAGAAGCCAAGAAAGAAGACAACAGGTTGGTGGTTAACATTGATGAGCAAGGCATGAAGAGGATGATGTACTATTACCAATACCCTCCACTCTATTATTCCTTTGAACGAATCCCTCCGCCTCAGCTCTTCAGTGATGAAAATCCTAATGCTTGCTGCATTTCATAAATTCATCATACGAATAAGAAATAAAGATACAGACAAGAAAGTGTTCAAAGTAATTCGCAAGTACCACCACTATGGGAATTTTTGAAGTTGAGTTGGTGAAATGGAAGGTGTTAAATGGAATCACATGATAATAAGTTAATAATATGTCGTTCTATCTTTTTATGCATGTACGATATATTATTACACTAGTCACAGCTCAAATTGTACAAATGCTTGTGAAATGTGTATCCTCATGTTCTATTTTTTTGTTTGGTTAATCTATTTGATTTTAATAATTTTTAGGGAAAACTTCATAAATCCATGAGAGTTTGCTTCTAAATTATTTATCCCGTCTAATTTTTTTATTTTTTTATTATAATTTACCCCTTGTGTTTTTATTCATAATCAATTACCTTCCTACTTGTTTTTCATCCAAATTTAACTAAAGGTGATAATGCTTATTATGCCATTTTTTTAAAAACTCATTGTTCTTTTTTTCTCCCAATTCTCTTCTCGATCTAAGGTTCTCGGTTCAGCTCATCTCCTCTTCTTTTTAGTATGTTGGGGCCAATATATCTCAATCTCCTTGTGCTTTCAATCTTCTCGCACCTCCAATCTTTTACAGGTTCTTCCCTGACGTTGATACATTATTTTTTTTTGGATACATTATTCTTCACCAATGCTACATTGTTTTGTTTCTATTTTTGTAAATATTCATTTTATTTCTCAGCTTTCACGCTTTTTCCTATGTCTTGCTTCTTCTCCATTAGACTAGTATATGTAGCTGTATCTCCTCTCCTCTGTTTTTTTTTATTATTATTATTGTGTTTTGGAATTGGAATAGATGAAATATAGCATAGGGGTCACTGATTGAATATTTCAATGTCATGGACAAATATTTAAGGTTATGTCAGAAAAAAAAAGAAGATATCTAAGTTATCTGAGTTATGTGAAAGTTTTTTTTTTTTTTTTTTTATTTTGGGAATTCTTGCAGCTTAAAGAAATGGATGTTAAAGGTAATGCACATTTAGTGAATTCATTTTTGATTCATAATGATGATGAAGGTCTTCCATCACCTCCTATTATTGGAGAGTCATCAACACAAAGGATGGCTCAAATTTGAAAAGAGAAATCACAACAATAGCTCAACCTCCTCCTAAAAGGCAAAATGTAATGGAATGATATATATGTTATTTTATTGAAAAAAACTATTCTCATGTCATATGAAGATAAGTTTTCTCTCATACACACCTTTCGATAACTGTGTCATTTTTTTTTTTCTTTTTTCTTTTTTTTTTCAGGTGGTGGAACCCACTGATTTATCTCTATGACATGAGATAACTATCTCCTTTACCATGAGAAAATAAAACTCTATTTTATTTCATTATGTTATTTATATAATTTTTAATTTTATGGTTATCTTGTATTAGCATATGGCTACAAGAGGAGAAAAATAGAATGATGCCTTTTTCGCTCATGGTGAAGGTCCATTACTCGAACAGTTTATATTGTATACCATTATCATTTTATCACCAAGCAATGTTGAAGACCATGTTAGAATCTGTTGTTTTTTGGGGGATGTTTAATTTTGAAAAGCTTTTAGATTGTAAGAAACCCAATCAAGAAGGAAAAAATTTAAATGCACGGTGACCAAACGGCAAATACTGAAGCCCCTATCCGAGATGTGGTACAGAGGAAGTGGCAGCAAATTGATAAGATAGATGGAAGATATCTTGCACCGACACTCAAGACACTTTTTGATATTTCCCCGACATATTTTAGGGATAAGTGTGTATTATTTTAAAGGATATAAAATTGTGTCATTTTAAGTGATGGAGAAAGAGAAATAGATAAAAGAGAGTTATTATTAAGTTATCCATTTGAAAGGACAAACACATTTCCCCATATTTTAATATGTATAATATTTAAAATCTTATTACATATCATAAAATATTTGATCGATGTTTTACTAAATTGATATATTAAAAATGAAAAATAGATACCAAATCAATTTTATTGGAGTGTATAAGAGATTCTTAATTTAAAAATATAATTATAAATATTTAAATCTTATGTTTTTTTTATAAATTTGATGGGTATTATAAGTTTAGTTTTATTTTTTTGTTAAATTTTTGAATATTAAATATAACATACAGTACATAAATTAAAAATATTATTTAATATCACAATATATTGAAATCTAACATTTTTTAAAATGTGTTTTTTGTTGGTGTCCGTGCAACATAGGATAGAAGTAGAGTCCCAAAATTTTAATTCATTAAAAATTGTTTAAAAAAATAAATAAAAGTGCATTTCATTTTATACATGCATCTAAATGTAGCTTTTGGAAAAAGTTAAAGTCAGTAAAAAATTTGAAATGATACTTTTTATGGAATTCAAATTAATTTTTGAAGCCTAAAAAATATATATTACTTTTTAGTTTTTACTTAAAAAAGTATTTTTTTTAATCCTTATTCAAATGTATAATAGTATCGGGTTTTAAAAAATAACAAAATAATATATTAAAAGTTTTTTAAAGCCCTTTCAAACACGCACTAAAGTTGGGCTAAGGTTGTTCAAGCTGCAATCCAATGTGGTGCAGTTAACAACGGTGATTTGCTTGGTTTAACTATTCTATAGGCCAGTTATTTTAATAAAAAGTACTTTTATTATAAGATGTGTTTGGATGTCTATTTTTTTTTTTTTTTTAAAAAAGAAGTCACAAAAAAATTAAAATCCTACTGTTTTTGGAAGCTAAAAATTTTAATTTTACAAAAAAGAAGAAGTCAAAAATTCAATATTTTCTTTTCAAAAACTAAATATTTTTTTAAAATCTATTTAATTTTTATAAAAAAATACTTCTAAAATAAATAAAATATAAAATATCTTTTTTTCACAAGCTCAATGTTGCTATGGGTGAATGATTGATGACACATGCCTGCCATTTGAATAAAATAATAAATATTGTACAAGATCTATTTGAAGTTTGCTTAAAGGGGAAATTGTGAAATTTTTAACCACAGTTTATTCTTTAAACTTTTAATAAGCCTAATTTGTCTTTGTAACTTGAGTGACATTGTTATTACTTCTACAGTTCTACTCATTTAATATTTCTAACAAATTTTATTTTTTTAATTATATTTAATTGTAAAATATTTATTCAAAAATATTTTATATAATATATATATATATATATCTGAAAAAATAGAATAAGCAAATAACACATCTCTCATCATTTCAAAAATATATTTTTGACCCAAAATTTAGATAATTATTTAAAATAACATAATGATGTATATTATTTATTAAATTATTTTACATCGTTCATTCGTTTGCATGGATAAGTCAATCCAATGTTTTCTTGAGAATAAAATAACTTCTAATTTTATAAGGACATCAGAGTTTCTCTAAAAAATACCACCTATGTGGGACCCATTTTCTAATGTGGCAAAGATTGGCAATGTTGAAGCCATGTGATTACGAACTGTCTCTAATTTGTCTCTTTTGTCCCTTACACCGTTTCGTCACCATTGTTATTAATTGCCTTCTTTGGATTCTTGAAAGTGAAAGACATTGATGAGAAAAGCTACTTAAGTTGAGGAAACAAATCAAAATTAGAAATGATTCACATCTACTTTCATGGAACTGGTTTTGTATATGTCTAAATCTCATTAAATTATTGACTAAAAATGTCGTCAATGATACACTTGCGTTTTGTCACTCGTTAAAATAAAAGTAGATCGTAGTGTGATAATTTGGATAGAGGTTTTAAAGCATGGCACAACTTTATTGACTAATTTCTTATTTAACACATACACTATATAAAACTATATTGAGATAGTTTAATAGTACTCGGGTACGAATTAAAAAAGGATAGTATATCCTTATGTTGCTTATTAAGCTTGATGTGGATGTGTTCATAGCTTATGTTTCTATGAGGAGTAATGCAATAGTACCAATACAAAAAGATAGTGAGGAATTTTATTAAGTAAATAAATAATTATAATTATAATCATTCAATTTGCAAAGAAAATTGCAAAACATGTACCAAATAATTAATGGGAAATAATACTCTCATGCCACATGAGATACTCTCATTTTCTTACACAAATTCATTTTCCGTGTCAAATAATTTTTCTTTTCTTTTTTAATATAAAATATGGGACCCACATTTAACTTCGCTCTACTTTTTTTTCTCTCTTACAATTCTACAACATAAGAAAAGTTAAACCCATAATTAATAATGTGTGTGTGATGAATGGAAATAGAGTTTGGAAAGTGTGCACTTGGTGGATCATCCTTATGAAAACCATTAGGTAGTTGCTGTTTTGAATACGGTGTGATCCCTGGTGTTGGGTCGGTTATCGGCCCAATATCCAGGTCCAAAAACAGTTAACTTCAACAAAAATAAAAAAACTTAGACCTAACATTCCATCTCGTGATGATTATAACTTATATGAGACGGGGCGTTTGGTACGCGTCATTCTTCAAGATTTTCGAGAAATTAAATTTTTTTAAATTTTAAAATTTTGAATATTATCGTAAACTGAGTGTAAAAATCATATTTTTGAAAATTGAGATTCTCGGACAAAAAAAAAAAATCTCTACTCTACCAAACGTTCCCTAAAATTTTTATAATTTTTTACAGCCTATTTTTTTACTTGATTTTCATCAATTCAACGATTATGATTTATCGGGTCACATTTATTATTAATTATTAATTTTCAATAAAATATAATCGTTGGATTGACAGAAATCAACGGTGAAAAAATAGATTATAAAAAGTTGTAAAATTTTTAGATTGTAAGAATAAAAGCAGTCCCTGAATCTTATATATAAGCCATGTAACTCTAAGAACAAATAATAAAAAATAGTTATACAAACACTAATATAATTTAAGATGGAGACAGGCATGCATGTGCAATGCTTTCTTTTATAAGTCGTTTATATGCTTATGTTTGCAATTCACCAAGGATCAAATTGAACGACACTTGCATGTGCATGGCATTAGCATCGATGATTAGTGTGTAAATTGTCCGTTCTGCATAATAAAAACTTGGAGAAGGCACAATGATGATGTCCTGCAAGGCTAAGGTTACGAGTCTTAATTAAATAATTAAGTTGTCCAAGTTCCAAACTCTTCTCAATTCAATTACTATCTTCTTTGATAAGGAAAACAACCCACATGGGGGCAAACTCCTTAACTTTCCAATTCCCTATATATGAAAGAAAAAGAGAATACAATGTATCCACTTTTCATTAACCAACGCTGAGTTGCTGACACAGATTTGCACTCATCCATGTCACACCACCCATACCCCAACATGACTTCAATTTCCTTAATCAAAGGCTATATCTTTCAAAGGCTAATTAATCCTCTAATTAATCTAAGTGAAGCAGCATAAAGATAAAATGTAAAAGAAAGAAAAAGAAGACCATTGGTTAAAGGCTTCTTTTTAAGAGAATCTAATGGATTATGAGCCTAACCATCCATGAACAAAGACTTTATATAAGGCTTGGATTTGGAGACTCGTCCATAAGAACCAGCCAAAACCATTGATTGACAATTGGATGGTGTGAGTTGGGGAAAGTCAGAATGGCCAACATGCAAATTGTCCCAGCTTGTAAGAATATTGTGGAGGCACAGTACGTTGAAATGATGGTTCCTTTGTATTCTTACGGATGCGAGAAGAAAATAAAGAAAACATTATCCAATCTTAAAGGTAAATAACAGTTTTGGTGATAGTTTTCAACATTATGCTTCCCTAGTATCTTTCTGAACTTTTAGCAAATTGTTTCTCAACTTATTATTGATAAACACACAACAATTTTTTTTTTTTTTTGGTGTGGTTATTTTCTCTGCTAAAAAATTGTTATAGATGCATGGTTGTTCTGTTCTGTGGGTCAAGTTCGCAGCTTAGATTAATTTTTGGGTCCATTGAAATCACATTACAGCCAGTGGGCTATGGGTTATGACTTATGACCGAGTGATAATTTGTTGTCTTAAATAAATTAAATTTCTAATGAAAATTGCAAGAAAAATAGTTTTTGGAGATAACCAGCAATAGGGTCTTGAATCTAACAGTAATAAACATGGAGGAGGTCCTTCAACTGCTAATCACATTGGTGTTTTAGGTAGTGCTACAAATTTTTTATTGAATTGATCCCTAAATCATAAAAGGGAAATACTTTTTTTATGTTGTAGGAAAATAATTATTTTATGTTGTAGAAATAAAATTATAAATGGAATCCACAGGTAAGAGGAGACAAAAAAAAAGAATGGTGGGATCCAATCTTTTTTTTAGTGTGTAAAAAAGTTGTCTATCTCATATAAAATGAAATAAACATAACCCATCATAAAAAGCACAAAATGAGAGCATTAAGCAATTTTATGAACTATGGCTTGCAAAGTGAAACTCACTTATTATCTGAACTGAAAATTTTGTAGGCACTAGAAACTCTACTTGAGATGATGCGATTTTTTTTTGCCTTTTATTATTTGAATTACATTTATGTACCTTCCTTTAATTTGTTCTATAAGTCGGCAATTCCTAGAGTCAAAAATAAATGGTAGCTACCCACAGGTTTTGTTAAATTTATCCTATTTGTTTACTTTCATGTATATCTCCAAAAAAATAAGAAAAAGAAATGGTGCTTGTCTACAGTGCCATTTATAGAGCAAGATATCGAATTTAAACCTAAAAAATTGTGTTCATATTACTTTTGGTGACACCATTACTGTGCATAAATAGTAAACTTCCTTCCTTTCTTTAGAAAATTTCCGCAGACCCATCAAAAAGTAAAACTTCTGATAGCTTCTTATTTTTCTTCTAATGAGTTTTTGAGCTAAATATTTTGGTAAGTGGTGACTTAATGATTATTGATGGCAGGCATATACTCGATAAACGTGGATCACTGTCAACAAAAGGTGACTGTATGGGGAATTTGCAACAAATATGATGTGCTAGAAACCATAAGAAGCAAGAGAAAAGAGGCTCGTTTTTGGAACCAAGAAGACAACGTTGTATTAGAAAATTCACAATCACCCTCATCTTCACCAACTAAACCACCACCCCTTTCTCACATGGATTTTAAGCCCTCTTTAGCTTTAACTAAGGTTAGGTCTCTAAGTTTGAAAGCGTCTCTAAGTTTGAAAGCATGGAAGAAGGTATTCGCTAGATCATATTCTTTCTAGAAAGAGCAAGCGGTTAGTGGAAGAGAGGAATAATTAAGTTGATTGTCAAAAGTGAGTGTAAATTTTGGAATGAACGTGTTCCATATCTCTCACCTGTATATATTTTATTGTTCTAGCATTTTGGCTTTTTATCCTTGCTTTGTTGCTTTTTACATGTACTTCAATCTTAATTTCTTTATTGAATCTGATATCAGTCATATCACAACATCATATTGGAACATCTACGCATTACAGCTACGCTAAAAAACTATCAATCATTATTTTCTGTTGTAGGAATAAAATTTTAATGTATTAGATGTATCGAAAATTCAATACATTTATTCAATAATTTTGTGATATGATATGTGAATAAAAAATAGAAGAAGGTTATATTTACAAATTTTTTGTTTACAAACGACACTAAGTATGATTGGTCATACTTCAATCAAGAGTGTATGACCGGTCATACTTAGTATAAAATATCATATTATTTATATTTTTAATTTAAATAATGTAATTTTTTTTATTCATGTGCCACAAAATAAATAAATAAATACATTGAGTTCATTGCATCAGATGATGCAATAAAAATTCATTCCTGTTATAGGCAAGTTATGTGCTCTCGAAGGCACTCTCTGTTCCATTGCTTTTGCCAATAGTCAATACCATTGTCCTATGTTGTAATGGGCCCATTACAGATCTATCTCCTAGACTATTCATCCTTTTTCCCACTTTTTTTTTTTTTTTTTTAACAATCCTTTTTTCAACATCATTTGCTAGAAAACTATGACCATCGTTTTTATTTTTTATTTTTTTTACAATTAAACTATGACCATTGTGATATCACATTACATTCCTTATCTGGAGCAGCTATATTTGAAATGCAAGAATTTCCATCACAAGAAATGAGTCAATTATCTCCCATTGAAGCTCTCAATTCAATTCTGCCAAACCCATGTGTAGGGAAACATGAGCTGATCCAGATCACATTTCAAAAAGAAGATAGCCAAAATCCCCCGCCTAATAATCCAATACATGCATCTACCAAACTTCAAGTTCAAAACTTACAAGCTACTCCATGTTCTCCAATGTTTTTTTTTTCCAATAGAATCAAGCCAGATCAGCTCTTCAAGAGCCATGATTAGACCACACAATGTCACACCAAAAAAAAAAAACGTGATCAAAATAAATTTGTCATTCCCATTATGATTAACATTTACGCGTAATTTAGTGAACCCGTGTTCTTTTGAACCATCACTACGGTCAAATTATTCAATCTTATTATTTAATCATTATGGTAATTACCCGGTAAAAATATGCTCATTATTATGTTCCGAATTCACACTGTACATGCACCAGAAAGTGCCAGAATTGTAATCTTTTTTGCCTAACCTCTTGTGCTTTATATAAATGTACGTACCCCACAATTCAAAAATCAATCAGAACAAGACCACACGTTGTAACTACCAAACTCGGATAGAAAGAGAGCCTTACTTATAGGATCCTCACGTTAAGGCTCCAATATATATATGTGAGAAGTTCTGAGCTTTGAAGGAAGAAGAGAAGAAAGAAAGATGATAATGGTGGTGATTATGACAGAGATATTAGGAGAGTACACGGCAGTGCTGACAAGGGTGACGGAGCGCCTCCTTCCACGACGTGGCATGAGTTTTAGCAGTCTCAGGAACATTCGTTTTCCTTCAACAACCTCTTCTTCAGATTCAGCTTCTTTTCTGGTTTACTTTTAATTATGTTAGTCAGAATGGAAACTTGGTTTCGTTTTTTTATTGTTCAGGCCATTTATTTATGGGAAATACAAGAATCAAATTGTAAGAAGAAAAAAAATTGATCATATTACAGATTATATCTATGTATTAGTACATAGTTATAATATTAAAGTTATTTTTTCTTTTTTTATCATGTCCGTCCACAATCTTCTTTTATAGCTATGGAGCACATAATTATATTTTATTGTAGGACCAAATTTCTTTATTGAAACCCCTTTGTTTATTGCTTAACAAATTCATTCTGTGATGAATATGAAATAAGAGAGGCTTTCTTCAGAGGTATAGGCCATGGTAAACTCTGTCGCATTTGATGTGTAATTATGACACAGATTTTTTTTATTTTTTATAAAAATATTAGCCCTTACAGTTTGGTTATCTGACATTCATTTAATTTTCCCTAAGTATTCTTCAGTTGCAGAAGCTTGAAGTATTCTCGGTCATTGTATTGTGAAAAATGCTAGGAACACATTCTTTATTATTTAAAGGTAAATTTCATTTGTACCTGACTAAAATTGGAGTCAGGTTATTGGTGGAACTGATAATAAAAAGTACTTTAGAAAGATTGTGTTACATGAGCATTTCCCTGTGACCTTAGCTTATTCTATTGGAAAGGTCATTCCCTTGTTATAATTCATGTATCTTTGCATAAAAGAGAAGCATAGAAAAGCAATTATGCAGTGCGGACAAACAGAGAGCCGCATAGGAAGGTTCAATTATTAAGTAATGTATGTGTCTGCGTGACTGTGACTAATGTTTATCAGAGACGGGAAATTACGAGCAAATAAAATATCATCATGTTAGATTAGTTACCCTGTTATTTCAAGTAAAGGTCCACTAACTCGATTAAGACACTTTTTAAAGCTCCTTTTACCTTGAGAAGCAGCAGATTCCTTCATTTATTATTATCTTGTCACGGACAAATCTACACAATGAAATGTCCTTATTTTGAAGATTTTTCCCCCCTTTTTTTTTTTTCTTTTAACAAAATAACGGAAGAAACAAATAAAGAAAGTGTTAGAAATTTTTATAATAATTGAGGGCTTCAATCAATTGTAGTATTTTTTATTTTAATAAAAACGGATTAAGTAATGATCCATATAAGGGTGCAGTATAAAGCCCAATTAATTAGTGATCCTTTTGATTTGGGCTTGGATATTTGTAAACTGATTAGTGTGGGTAACAATGTAGGTCTAACTCATAAGCCCATGATGGGAAGGGGATTAGGGTTAATGAGTTTGGCTAGGTCCCCTCTGCATTCACAATGTGTTAGAAAACTGTTACTCCCCAACTCGTCCCATCGACGGTTGTGATCAGGAGTGGTGTGAATTGCATAGGAAAATCCTAATCTTTCTATTGCAGGAGCATCAGAGAAAACAAGAAGTCTTCAAGAAATCAAGAATCATGTGTTCAATAAGTAAGCCTAAATCTTTTGGTATTCTAATATTATATAATCTCTTCTTGAAATTTCTTATATTTGGTATCATAGCCTAAATTATATGAGGTAGGACCCAATTTTTATTATTAAACATGATCAGGTTTTTGGGATTAGTTGTACTGTCTTCCTTTATTCTTGATTATATGATTTTTAAATCAAGTTTTTTTTTTAAATAAATCAAAATTAGATTTCCAAAACACTTTGTTAAATGTGATTTTCTAAATCCATCAATTTTTTTATAAAGTTGAATAACTTTTTGTTTAACCCAATTTTATATAGTTCAATGCTGTCGTGTATTGAATTACAAAACAACAATATCGTTTGGTGCATTCTTGAGGTGGTATTTTTTTATTTGTTTTGGGTTTTTTGTTGTTTTGTTGGTATGTTTCATGATCGTGTGTGATTTTTCTATACATGTTTTTTAAATAAATTTTATTATAATATTTATTGGGTGATTTATCTTGATAGAAATATTGTGACGCTATTTCTCTTGCATTTGAAATGATTGTTGATTATATGGCAGAGAATATAACATCAATGATACAATCATGAAATCAATTAATTATACATTTGTATTCAGATAAATTTATTATTATTATTTGATTTGACACTTTTGATGGGATTGATTGAAAGGCTCCAAGATATATTTCGTATTTGTGAGTGAATGAAAATATTTGAATAGAAATAAATACATTACGATTGGTGTTTTTATATTTAGTTTGAAATTATTTGGAATGAATAATTTAAAATAAAAGTAATTTGGTAGCCATGTGGGATATGCACATTGCATTCAACATGAATAAAAATGCATGAATCCATAATAACTTTGATGAAACTGCTTCGTTTAGAGTTAGGCATTATTAATGGATGCAATTTATTTCTCTGGTGATTGATTTGATTGTGGAGAAGAAAACTTATTTGGATCTTTTGAGTAAAGCCCATCCACAGTTTAAGGTGCATAAGGCACTTGTGAGCCCAATAATGACCTAATTTTATCAAATATTATTTGTGTTGTGTTATAATTAAATATGATTTTATGATATATTTAAAATAAATGAATAAATTGTTTTAATAAATATCATTTTTTGGAAAAATGATAAACCTTATATGCATACTCTAATATTTTTTTTTATTAAGATGCATGCTTCCGCTTGAAATATTTGAGTGCAAAATTTTGTTGGAAATGCTATTATCTTTGATTCATTATCCGTAGAGATATTGCACTTTCTTATGGACTAGGTTATGGTTTTGGGCAAGAGAAAATTAATTTCAGTGTAAGAGTTTTCATGAATTAGTACGGATAATTTCCACCAAAGTGGGTTGCTTATATTGGTTTGTGAAAATTTTTTTTGTAAAATTTGAGAAATAATTTGGGTTATTTCGTGCAATTTTCTGCCGAAAGGGAGTAACTGTGTGTTATAACTGTGAATTTGTTTGGGATGAAGTTAATGGAGGTGCATTGATCTAGGAGATCTGTCTGTCCAAATGGGACAAATCTCTGAAGTCAGTGTATGTTCACTGAGCAACTTTTGTTTGAGATTGTGGATGAAGTTATTAGAGGCTCATTGGTCTAGGGATCTATCTGCCCAAAGGGGATAGATTTTTAAACTCAATGTTGTGCTCATTGATTAACTCATCTGAGGTTCTGACCTTGGTTAAGACCTTGGTTTGTGCATTATGCCCAAAGAGAAATGTACTATTATGTTGGCCTTGTTATGACAACCTGTTGTACTAAATGATTAACTCATTCTGAGCAACTTCTTCTTGATATTGTAGATGAAGTTATTGGAGGCTCATTG